GAATTTTGTTGACTCTTTGCACTTTCACTTAAAGGTTTGGAAAAATCTCACTAAAATTTGTGAGAGTAAAGAAAAAGAAGACACCAGAAAGGCCTGGGCAATAGCTTAATCCATTTCCTCAGTCCCAACTAAACACATCAAGGGTGTACACCAAGGATCAACAAATCAACAACATGAATGCTGTCTCCACCCTGCCTACCCTCCTGCTGCACCTGTGGCAGACATCACTAATCGATCATGACACTCCCACTGAGTACAGACTTGGCCTTAGAATCCTTCTCAACACAATGCTTCTGGCAGCCGATACCAATCAATGACACTTGGCAAGTGAAATCAAACCTAAAATTTAACATAACAGATGCCCACTACTATCTTTAAAATTCAGGCTTCAGGAAAAAGACACCATCTCTAGTCAGACAGACCGGCCTTGAACCCAGGGTCCACCACAGACCTAGAATCAACGTATTGCTTTTTCCTCAACAATTAAATGGGCAGAGAGTCGGGAAAAAAAATACATGTGAAGTGCCTACTAGGGAGTGTCTAACCTCCAGAATTTGCAGTGACAGCAGAAGTACCTGTTGTTAAGAGAATATCCAAGAGGAGATTTTCCTACTTTGATTTGGCAAATCCCACACCCACACCTAAAGCATGGGGTACCTGACCACAAAAAGAATACATAACTTCACATATGAGAATGCCAAAGAGGAGAAAGCATGAAGGCCAATAAAAGGAAACAGGTAAAGGTAGTCAAAAATCGAACCGATGAGCAGCAAGGAACAGTGACACCTGCAGATGAATTTAACATAGGATTAGTAATCAACCAAATTGATTGAACACTTACATATGCTGGCACTGGACTCAGCTTTGTTCGTGTTTGAGCTCATTTAATTCTCACAGTGACTCAGTGAGATGTAGGTACTGTCATTAGCTTCATTTGCTACATGGGCATCCTGAGTCTCACAGAATTTAATTAAATTGACCAAAGGTCATAAAGCTAAAGGAGAGTAGATCCAGAATTTGAACTTGGGTCTGTCCAATATCAGAGCCAAATTTTGTCCAGCTTCACTCAACTACGCTGTCTGATTTTTAGAAATCATAATTGACTGCTTTTATTTGGAGCTTTGAAGCTTACAAAATATACTGGTTCAGACTGAACCACATGAAATTGCCCTTTTTTTGGTATGTCAAAAATGTTGAATACTGGCAGTTTTATGTTTCCACGTATACTTTAGTATCTTCTGTTCCACTGCTATCTTCTCCCCTTTCCACCTACATGCTTGAAAATCTGATGCAAACACTTTTCTCCCTTAAGGCTCCCCAAGTCAGTGGAGAGCTCAATTTCCTCCAAATGCCTTTTCAGAAACCAGCTCTGTCATTCACTGCATAATGGTATCGCCTTAATGCTTCTCTCAGTCCTGAGCTGTCTTCACAATGCTTTTCAAACTTTTGCACACCCAGGGTATTTAATGTGAAGCTACGTTACAGTGTTCCCTTTGATAACTTCTTTTCTTCCCTTTGGTGATTTTCTTGAGGCACAGTGTTTGTCACATCCCCCAAACACGACTACATGAAAAATTTTACTAAAGATGTTTAGTGGAGATAGAGGTCGTGAACGTTACACATTGTCTAGCATTTCAAACCCACAAAACGGCTATCAGAGAAAACAAAACTAAACAAAACCAAACCCTGTCCTCCCCCCATCGCCCCCTGCAGGCCGGTTTCAAACTTGCCCCTCCAGCCCTTTTCTACAACCTCTAAGTCTTCATCTCTTAAATCTCCTGCAGCTCTAAATTATTTTGTATGTAATCCAATTTGACCGCACATCTGCTTGCCTAATTTGCATCTGCACTCTGAATACTACCGTGCTTAACAAATGAAAAAGCAACCTCTGGACCCATATTCCTTAGGAGGTAGCAAAACATGATAAATAATACACAATATTTTCCTTTCATGTTACTTGTGTACAATACGTATGATTTTCCCAACTGACTATAAGCCCAAATCTTGGACACAAGAACACAAGAACTTAAACAGCACCTACTGTGAGCCAAGTACGGTACTTCATACTGTGCACACTTAGTCTCTATGTCTTACATTCGCTGTTACAATCCCAAGACCTATCACACTGCAAGCATAGAGCAGGTATTAAAAAAACGTTGGTAAACTGATTTCCACTGTACTCAACAACCTTTCAAAGCACTGAAAAAAAAGAGATTTGAATGAGTACGCTGAATTCTGGTTCACCAACAGAAAGAAATCCACTGCATATATTTTTAAGGATTTTAAGTGTTTTTTTTTAAAAACTTCTTCATTAAACCTTCACTGGCCTTTCAAATTTATAACTAATTTATTTAAAATTAGGTATCTATCAATAAAAGAAATATTAAAACTTCTGACAAAAAGAAAACAAAAATAAGTGCTTTTTTGGTAACACAATAATTTCACCAATAGTAGAAATGCAAATTAAATGATATTTTAATAAATTAGCAACACATTTTAAAAACAAAGATACTTAATGCTGGCAAGGATGTAATAAAGCAAATATATAGACATAGAGCTCACAGGGTGATAAGTGGAAATGCCTTTTTTGGAAAGTAATGTGGCAATGTGTATCAGAAGCCCCCCAAGATATTTATATCCTTGTAGTCAGTTTAAACAACTACTAGGAATTTATTTTGAGAAGTATTAAAATTTACCAACAAAGGTTCCCACTGCAGTGCTATTTCCAAATGCTAACCCTTGAAAACAACCTAAATGTATAACAGTAAAAGAATAATTCAATAAATGTTGATAAAATTTGATGTACCTACTCAAACTACTGTTACACAGCAAGCTAAGAGCCTGATAATAAAAGGTCTGTGATGATGTAAAACTTCCTTATTAAAACATTAATTGAAAAATCAGGATGCAATGTTCCGTATATACAAAATGATCACAGATGCAAAAGTATCCACAGAAAACAATGTAGAATGATGAACAACTTTTTCCTCTAGTTTGTATTTTTGATATTTTTAATAGTAAGCTTACATTATTTATAATCAGGGAAAAATAAAAAAAAATGTTTCTCTAATGGAAAGCTTGGTATTGGTATATACAGTGGAAGCTTTCTCAATCCTGTCTAAAATACAGTTACTCACACCCACCGGCATTCTGAATACTCGGAGTTAACAGATTCCTTTCAGCTGCGTTCTTATTGTGTGTCAAGGTAGTGTGTTTTCCCAAATCCATTAATGTCCATCATACTGGTGACTGAAATTATGTAAGATAATAAAATATGATGTGAATGAATGAGATATGAGCAAGAAAAGCTGTTTCTCTAAAAAGACCCAATAAAGGTATGTCATTAAAAGAAGGGCTATCAAATTACTGAGTGGTATCAGAAAATACTGGGAAAACATGGGGAATTATGATTACGATTTATGTAAAAAAAATCATAAAAATCTAGAATGATTCTTCACTCAGCCTCCCACACAAATATCCTTAATTCTTTTCCTTCAGAAAGCAAGAAAGGAGAAGTGGCTACCATCTCTGACGCTTACTAGTGCAGGATGTGCCAGGAAGATGAACGGATTCCAGGTAGCAAATTTAAGTTCATGGCAAAGGTCTCTGTCTTATGCCAAAAGTTTTATATTTGAATGTATATTTATGTTTTAAGCAAAAGGAAAAGGACAAAACTGTGTATACGTCAATCAACTTTTTAGATAAATCCAAGCACTCACTCACTGATCAGCTAAGAAAGCCTCTACTGCACCTAATAAATACACACAAAAGTTACTTATAATCACATATGCAATTGTAATTTATTTAAGAATGATACTATGTATATGCTTTATAAGTGAATACATGTGTGTATATGTATAGAATGATATATTTATATATGTGCACACACACACAAAATATATATAAATACCATGAAATTAACTGCTCTGCTGCTTGACCAAATCATGCAATCAGGCAATAGACCTTTCATAAGGAGGTAATTTAGCAAACTCAAAGTGTGAAATTAAACTTAGTGACAATGACCACGGTGCGTGTAGGCACCACAGTTCTGCTTGAGAGCATCTTGTTTAACATACTGTTCCTTTTCCCTTATCAGCAATGGCCAGAGCCAGGAAACTCCTTGTTCAGACATCCTCAGATTCACTTTCTGGTGGGGTTCAAGTACCGAAACCCGAGCACTTAGTGCAAAGGTGCCGTCTGCACTCAGCTCAGAAGTCTCCCTGGGAACTTTTTGGATTAGTAAGTTTCTTAGGGGTTAGTTCAAGTTTTAAAGTTTCTTCCTCTTCAGAACATGAAGGAAGACTGGCCAAATGAGTTCAGAGGTCCCAATGATGAAGAAAATTGCTCTTGTTAAAAAAAAGTTAAGGACATTTTGTTTTGGTGAATGGGTACATTTTCATCTTTCTCCTTTTGCTGAAAAGGTATAAAAATAGTAACATGTATAGGAGGGCATTATACGGTTAAGTACAATGGAGAGAGAGAAAATATTTCATGTGAAGCATTGATCATTAGTAAACCCGGGTTCAAATCTTTGCTCCTTGCTTTCTAGCTCCGTGATCTTGGGCAAGTTGATTAACATCTCTGAACCTTATTTTCTCATCTTAAAAATTTAAAAAAAACAAACTACCACCTTTCTCATGAAGTCGTTGTGAAATTAGCCAAAACCACTTATATGCTTGGCCTATTTATTGAATTGGAGACCAATAAATGTTCATTTCTTCTCCTTTTCAAGTTTTGGTGTCTTAATGTGAAATAGGTTTATTTGTGGATCCAAATCAGTAATATACACAAAGGGTCTGGCCCAGGCCTAACACACAATAAATGTCTCCTTTTAAAAAAAAAAATAAACAATTGAAAATATTTATAGAAACTTCCTATCCAATGTTGTTTGCATTCTTTGTTAATTTCATTAATCACCTAGCGAATACACTCTATTGTTTAATACACAATTCACAGACATGCTCACCCACACAAAAGGTCCAGGTGAAAGTAAGGCTTACCTGCAGTTCCAGAGAGTTCCACACTTAAGGTTCGTTCAATAGTCTTGTTCTCAAATGGGGAACCCTTGGGGTCACTGGAAGATATGGCACATTTATAAAAACAAACTGAAATGGAGTTGCTGTAGACAAATGTATTAGAACCCCCTTCCCTTTCTGAAAATGGTTACATTTCTTAATACTTACTTTGGTGACTCTGGGGTCAGAGGAAGAGATAAAGTTGTTGGTTTGGCTAAAGGGAAAAAAAGGAAACTAATTATGAGATATTGAGTGTTTCTCAGATTTGTTTTCTTTCTACAACAGTCATGTTGGAAACTGGAAACTGGAAAACTAAAATAAGGAAATCCCTGAATATTGGATCAAAGTCAGACAACAGTCCATTATGCTAAAACAAATTTCAAACAACATTTGCATTGGTAAACTATCATTTGAAAACACAGACGAAAACAGAATTTTCCCCCAAATGTAGCATCCCTGTTAAGGATACAAAATTTGCATCAGATCATCAGAGAGAAATAATGTTTTCTGTTTTAATTTGGAATAGAGTACACGGTTTGTTTAGACAAGAAAACAGCAGAGTAACTACAAGATGACAGAATGTTATGAATATTCAGTTGATTTTTCTCTTAAAATGTATAATTTGATGTCTAGCCCTGAGAATCAGTTATTTCTGTGAGGCCAAAGCTCACTCAGTCACCATTCTATTCACTGAAAATTAATTGAGAGATTATAGCAGATTGTGGACACTGATCCACACAGTTTAAAAGGGGTTCAGATTCCCAAGTCTAACAGACAGCTAGAGATGCTGTTTATCAGCTGAGAGACCTACAGACTTGCAGAAAGAGCACATGTACTTTCTTTTATGCTTCCTAAATCTTACCTCCAACAGGAGGCATTTCCCAATTATGAAGGGTGGAGTAAGAATCTTCTCACTCCAAAATTTCAATTGCTTCTCCTTGGCAGTCTTGTATTTTGAACAGAAGGAGGGGAAAACATGATGAGAAACGTACTTGGGATATACATCCACATACTATGTGTATATATATATATATATATATGCTTATCTACAAAGACATATTTATAATGTGTGTAGGTTTTGTCAATTTTTTTCTCATTAAAATAACTACTTTCAAAAAGTCAAGAGGTAGTCATTTACGTAATGTAAATCACAGACTTGAAACCGAAAAGGTCTTTAGAATAAACTCTCTTATTTTATGGATGAAAAACCTGAGACCTAAGACGCTAACTGATACTTCCAAGGCCATAAAACTAGCTACTGGCAGAGTTGGGCCCAGAATATGTTTTCTTTCTCCTATTATCAAAAAGAATTGCATTCAATATATACTACAGCAAATTAATCAACCTGAGTAATTAAGGTCCTTTGAAATGTGAAAATATTATTTGTATCCAAATTAGGTTGGAATTAGGTACTTTACTCCGATAAATAGTATTTACATATTTAATTTGTAGATTTAGATTTAGTTTTTAAACAATTGAATGGTTTATCATCTATCCAATGTGCATCCAGAAATATGAAACTCATGCTGTCTTGTACAAATGAGGTACATTGATTGATTGGCTTTTTCATAAATACAGATAAATGAACTGGTTTGACGTTAATTTTGTAGTATTTCTGGTATAATGAGCTTTTCAAAAAGAACACACTTCACACTGATGAAGGAACTTCACCAACTTTTATGGTACCCAACTAATAATTAAAATAGTGCATACAGGTGCGACAGAAAATATCACAGATATAAATTATGTGCTCTGTCATCCAATAACGTACACTGAAAATCAGCCACTGGAATTCCAGGTTGCAAGCAGAGGGTAGGCCATATGGAACGCTTAAAGGAAGATTCCAAAAGTTCTGATAGTTGAGTACAAGGGAGGCCCATGGCAATAGAAGGAGAGGAACAGACAGGGGTCAGATTTAATGGGACAAAATACCAACAGGAAAACAGGAAATGGGGGCTACAAGAAAGGTACGGCTTCAAAAGCCCATGCTCACAAAAACTACCATTAGAGGAGCACTGATGTGGTTTACTCCACGCTATTCCAGCGACTGGTGGACCAGAGACGCTAAGATCCTTGCGGACAGCAATGTATCTTTTTCATGAAGATTGTGGTATTTCGCTGAACGAATATATCCGCAAGCGAATGATAAATGAACAAATGGGACACCCACTATCACCAAAGTCCAGACCATTACTCTAGGGAGTTGAAAAGAACTTGTCCCCACAGTGTTACAGAGAGCACACATGAATTTTTCACAGTGTGAAAAAATTACAATACATTAAGTAAGACAACCTCAGTAAATCCTCACAGTTATGGTCTCTAATTGTTCACATATTTTTGGCATTAAAATTGAATCATCATTTAAATAATCCCTGAAACTCAGCATTTATTTCCTGTTAGTTATTGACGGTCAGCCATGTTTACATGTTTATTCTTTTTTAGACATTTAGGAACTACAGGATTTTTTTTTCTTGTCAACCAGGTTTGTTCTTTTCTGGGATAGCTTCTGATGCCTCACCACAGACAACATACCTTAAAAAAAAACAAAAACCTACATACAGCAGGTCTCATCTAAAGAATATGTCCTTCACAGGCTAATTTAATTCTTCGCTGCCATGGTTTCTAACACTGTACAGTAATATTCAGTGACACGTGGATTTACAAAATTAAAAAACCCTCAAAATCCAAAAGGACCAACTAAAATTGGAAAAAAAAAATCTTTAAAACGTGCTGCTGGGCTGGGTTCACTGACTACAGGATTTCAACAAGTTTGGGGCTTTTAGCTCCAGAAAATGAGCTCATGACTAGGGCGAGACGGAGAGCAGCCAGCGAGCTCTTCAGTTCTCTCGCTCAGTCCTATGGCTCCGCTGCGTCTGCCCTAAGAAAATTGCTCCAGCGCATGTGTCTGAGAGGCCAATCAGGGCGAAGCAAACGGAGAGAATCTGGCTCATTTCGATAAATACATTTCCTTGAACTGGCAGAAAAGGGTGGACGGTGATATCCACTGGGGAAAACCTAATCGAGACCTAATTAAAAATATTAAAGGAATATGAAAATCCCAGGCCTATGGTGAGGTAGGGATGAGAGAGGGAAAATCAAAACCCTGGGAAAGAAAAGACATATTAAAAGCAGCGGCAACAGCATACCTGCACGAAATAATCATGGTTCAAAACAGGGATCAGGGGCTACTACTCTGCAGCTGGAAGGGGAATTGGGGAAACAAAAAGGGAAAAAAAAAAGGAGGTGGATGTTTACAATTGCTATTTTAGAATATGTTTATTTCCACTACAAAGTTAGAGGTAGAGATAAGGTGGAAGTTAAATATTTTAAAAGCAACAGAGACTTTCAACAAGCTCTCTTCGGGCCTCTATGACCAGAATATTTTAAAGGAAGACGCCAAAAGAAAAAAAAAAAAAGAAATTTTCATTTTTGCCAGGAGAGGTTTTTCCCAAATCACCCTGATCTGCCTCTGAAGCATCAACCTTCTAGTAATGTATGGGGGCAATAAAATCAACCCAGATGTTCAGTGTAATATAAGCAATACTTTTTTTTTTTTTAAATAGAAAGCCGTTTTTTTAAATAGCCAGCAATTTCCAAATCCTTACTTACAAAGTAAAATTTGTGAGTATGCCATTTGGTCTAAAAAAAGGAGAATGCACAGAATAATTGGGAAGGGTTGCATAAATACTATTTACTATTTCTTAAGGGATATACAGCAAATCTACTGTGCCTCGTTTTTTTTTTCCTCATTAGTGGGAGGGAAAAAAATAAAGCTCTTTCATGAACTGGCTAGACCAGCTTGCTCAGAACTTCAGTTATATCAGCAATTCAAAGATTCGTTTCCACCACATCTGTTGTGGCAGTTCCCTCCTCCCCACCTCACTCCGGACCCGGCTAAAACAGTTCAGGTGCATTTTGGTGATGGTGAATTAGGCTGCACATCAGCTGAATCAGATCTGTTCAAGTTGTGCCTCAGAAAGGATATTTTTTACCCCCAGCTAAAAAAAGTGCTGAATTCTCTTTTAAGAGAGACACGGATGGAACAGAAGCCCGCAGTTCCCGTGCTCAGCCCCGCGCATGCTCACTTTGCCGTCAGCGCCCTCGCCGGCAGCGTGCGTTTTGGTCCCCAGCCTACCTTGTAAGTGGTGAGACTGCGCTTGTGTGTGGGCCTTCTTTCTGGAGGTGCATTTGTCTCTGCTGCTGTTCCTGGTCTCTGTGGGTTTGGTGTGAGGAGGGTCATCATTTGTGGTCAGATACTTGAGAAGCTCCGAGCAGGGACGCCTTTGTGGCTTTTGCTGTTGACAAATGCTCTTCGCTTTATTGCTCCATGAATTCTCGGTCTTAAAAACAAGGCATAAAGAAAAGCTAAAATTAGTGAACTGAACCTTATCAGAATGGATATAGGTTTTCTGAAGAGATGAGATTTTCAATGAAGTGTTCAGTCTAAGTGTACTAGATCTATGAGCTGTGAATAATTGTTTGCAGAACAAGGAAAGAAAATTACATTTAAAATTCCTAAATGACATTTATGCAGCTTTTTATTTCATTTCTCCTACATTTCAATGTTCCTACTCAGCAACATGTAACTAACAAGACCCTACAGCGCCTTTACTGTGAATAAAAAAAAAAGAAGAAGAAGAAGAAGCCGGTTTAAACCTTAATTTGCCACTGATTGCCAGAGCCCAGTATTCACAATTCTCTTAAGTACCCCTTAACGCTCCGTTTTCACTCACAGTGAATGGCAAGACAAACATTGTTTAATACAGCTCGCTAACCGAATTATGTCATTGCCAGCATTCCATCCAATTAATGGCAGAGATAGATCTTTTGCAGTGATTCCAGAGCAATCTTTCTCAGGTTAGGCAGCTGGCAAAATGGCAGTGCTGCATCTTAAAGTCACTCGTAGATGATACCAGCCTATCAGCAAATTTTACTGTAGCCCACACTGCTGCAAGTATTAAGAAAGTAGGCAGGACGTAACAGACGGTGAAACTTGCATTTCAGTCATCCGAAGACAAGGCGGAGATGAACTCCTCCTAGCTTTAAATAGCTAGAGCACCGCTTTGGAAACCCATTTCACAACCTGTTTCACTGTTGGGAAGCCCCTGCAGGATCCCAGCTGAATTAATATATAGAAACCTATTGCTTGTTTCATAGCTTTAAGCAAAAGCCCCTTGTTACTTCCCCTCCCGCATGAAAAAGAAATGTTACATCTGTACCTTAACAACTGCAGGGTTGGTTCTGATCCTGGGATTATGGTTTGCATGGTTCTGGGTACTGAGACCACTGCACTCATTGTAACTTAGCTGAGTGTTGGCTGGTGCCAGTAAGAGCTTCTTAAGCTAGAAACACATTGGGGAAGAAGAAAAGCAAACGAAGTGATGCAGCTTTTAAGCAACGGAATCAGGTGTTGAAATTTTAAGCTTAAAATTAATTAATTCTCATTACAAAAGTGAATCCAATCACTCTAATTATAGCACATCTTAACACAATAGCACTAAAGGAGATTTATTTTTTACTATTAGTTTTTTGGTTTTTTGATTTTTTTAAACGGACGTCCTGGGGATTGAGCCCAGGACTTCTTGCGTGCTGGGCATGCGCTCCACCATTTGAGCTGTACCCTCCCTCTCAGGAAACTTATTTTTTAAAAGTAAGAAAAAGTTTGGCATGACACTGCCAGCTGTGAAAGTGTTACCTTTTCCTACGCTGGAGACTTAGTAGTGTCTACTTTACATTTTTTTTCTTTTAGATAAAATAAGGCAAAAGGATCCTTCTAAAAAGATTTCCAAATATCTACAAAGTAAGAAAAGGGGTTTTGCTAAATGAGGACTTGGGAGTGGGGAGGGAGTATGTATACATTATCCTCACAACAACCTAAATGAATCAAGCGACAATAAATGAAAAATTCTGTGATTCTTTGAATCGTATTTCACAATCAAGTGTTAAACACTACTGATTCAAAGAATATTTGGGCTAAAAGAGTGGCTGTCACTGAAAAGGATTTTTAAGTAGGTAGAATCCTGGCCTGTGGATCAGGAGATGTGGGTTCTGACTCAGGCAAAGCATCTGCTCTGTCTTGACCTCTTGTCTCTCCTTTTGACCTGATGGCCTTCCCAGATCTCCCTGCTGGGACATATAGTATGACTTTGAGTCAACAACCCCTCTGAGTTGAAACAACACTGGATGAAAACCATTGGGTATCAATGTAAAGACATCAGAATACCTGCCAGCAAAGCCAATGACACTGACACATGGACAGATCGGGAAATACGGATGTTACAGCTGCTTATGAGATAGTCTCCTCTAGGCCAAGCAATCTCAAAATGCAAAGGAATACAAGTAAGCCTCCATAGGTTTATGTGAAATGCTTGTTAACATTTAAAGACTTAGAGATGAGAGAGAAATAACATCTAACTGGCAGGCCAGAGCACATTATTAAAGTTCGCAGGATGGCATCTCATAATTTACATTGTGTGCTCTTACATCAGATTTATAGCAAATGACAAATAGCTACCATAGCTGAAAAGGTAAACTGTGTCTTAGAACTAATAAAATCCCGATCAAGCACTGCATTGAAAAGAAAATTCACTCTTCATTGCCAACGAATCCACTCTTCATTGCCTACCATAAATTTAGGTAACTTAGGTTGCAAATGTGCTATTATTTTTCAATCTTCCTAAGAATTATGGATCCAAAGCCTTAAAATATTGCATACTCTTTGATCTACCTTCTATTTCTAAAATAATATGCATGAGAATAAATCTATAAGCATGTCAATTATTATACAATTTATGATTGTGAAAAATAGAAAAAAAAGACTAAATACCCAACCATAAAGGATTGCTTAATAAATTAGCTCATCTCCAAACAATAAAATACCATGCAGCCATTAAAGATTATGCAAACATTTAAAATTCACAAACACATGTTCATGATCTATTTTAAAACAAGAGGACATTTCCATCACTTTTGATATTAGAGGTTATTTGAAATTACAGGTGAATTTTTCATCTATTCTTTTTCATTGTATACATTTTCTAAGTTCCTAACTGTGAAAATGAGTAATACTCAGATGTAAAAATACACATTAACAGCAGAAGATAGTTTTAAAAAACTGCAGTGAGACCACATGAAGACTGTATTACCAAGATTTTTAAACACAGAATCACAGAATTTGCAATGCTGAGTGTGCTTGGGGATTGTTTTGGCATCAGTCTAAATGAAAAATCTGAACCTTATTGTTACTACATCATACCCATGCAGCGGGTAGCCAGAGGCAACTCCAATTCCTGCTAAACAGTAGGAAGGGTTCTTACTAGGGACGGCTCTTCTGCCTCCTGAGGCGGAGGGGTGCCGTCAGGCATGGAGGAAGGACTAGCCTCATTCTCGGTGGTCACATCTCCATCTGTCAGTGCATCAAATGAGGGCAATCCGTCTTCATCCACAGGGAGACTGTCCAGTGTCTCTGTGAGGACTGCTAGCAAGTTTGCCTCATTCTCTTCATCTATCTTCTGCAAAAACAGAAAAACCGAAGAAGTTACAAGTGAGTTGACGTGGGCAGATGAGTAACACTATTAATCAGCAGCGACTGAACATGTTTAACCAAATGAGTAAGCTATACATGAAATTTGGAACGTCCCCACCAGAACACAAAAAAGCATGTCTTCTTCAAATTCCAAACTTACTTCTGGTCTGAATCACACAATTAATTAATACCTCATCTCTTCCAGTCTCTGATGGTTGAGCTGTCCCATTTAGCCATTTATTGTGTCGGTGTTAATATTGCTAAATATGACCCTGTCTTGTTCATAGTCGTCTTCCACACATTTATGTCTTGTTTCCCTAACTCAATGAGAAGATTTAAAGAATCTCAGGGCTTGAGAGAATTTTAACCATCAGCTATTGCATCTTCAGATACAGTGTTTCAACCTCTCGTACCGCATGCCCACCGAAATGTTTAGATAACCCTCTGTTTTACCACCACCAGAAACTGAAACTAAACTGAGAGAAACTATACACTTTCATGCTTTCAATTATAATCTCATCACTGAACACTTTGCAGTCATTTATTTCTCTCCTGACATCTCTCCCAACTTTAGTCATAAATCTCTAACTGCCTTCTGTACGTTTCTACCTGCTAATAGCTCCTCATCTCAAAATCCAAACTTGGGAAATTTCATGAAAAAAAAACCCTGCTATTTCTCTTGACTTTCTGGGTTTGGGTAACAATTCTTCATACCCTAAACTCTGGAACTACCTTGAGTCCTCTTTACCTGGTCGGTTACTAAGTGGAGTCTTACTTTGTAACACGTCTTACATGCATTCATTTCTGGTGACCAGGGCTACTTTCTTGGGGTTGCCATTACTTCTAACGGGGGCTCTTGCAAACATGGTTGAACTCATTTTCCCCCCTCCCATGCTCATTCCCACCAACACATCCTCAGAAAGCTCATCTTCAGTTATTCATTCCACAAACGTTTTTGAACACCTGCTCTATGTCAGGGCCATGCTAGATGCTGGAGATACAAAGAGAAACAAGACAAAACTCTGCCCCTCTGAGAGCCCTCCAAGGGAAGGGAAGAACCTGTAAACAATTTAGGATAGAAAAGAATATTTATCTGTACTCTGTAGAAAAAAAAAAAAGCTTTCAGGATCTTCCAGACTGGAGCTTTTACATCTTGTCTTTAGGGCAATGTGCTATATTCTTATGCACCTGAGCAACCAATGCCAATGTGGGCACACAGTGTAGACAGTCATTAATTACTTGCCAAAGAATCCATTGATCTGCATTTTTTTTGCCTAAAATATACATTGTATAGATTACTTTCTTTTCCTTCTTTCAACACTTCACATTGTTTGTCCAGTCTCACCTGTTTCGTAAGTCTTTTTTTTTTTACGTTCGGTACGCTATGACATGAAGAATATCAGCTAAATTATCCCACACAGATTCTATTACAAAATGCACATATGCTGCTGACATCTAATGAAGCCAGCAGTGCCCACACTTCCTTTCTCTCTAGCACTGAACTCCTGCTAATTGACCTGACAAAATTACAAGCATCACAGTGTAAGACAGCTAATCAGAAAATCAAATTGTATGGCAAGAGAAATTAGGCAGGCCTTTATCACGTATACATTCCTATTTTCACAAAAAAATTGTTTTCCCTCATTACTGATGAGTGTCCCTCCAGGAGTAAAACTAAGAACTTCTTTCTTGTTGGGATTCAAGAAGCCAGGAAGGGCCATTTGTACTCACGGTGGACTTCATTTTTATTTTATATCATTTTTATAAATATATTTATATTTATTTTTAACATTTGTTCCCACCCTCCTAATGCCCCTGGACTTGACATTGTGAGTCAAGTGGTTTTGGGCACACATAGTGGAGTAACAGTTCTATGAGGTTTTAGACTCTAGGGAGGTCAACCCTAATTGGTAGGGGTGAAATGTTAACTTCAAAATGGCACCACTTCCTGCCGTAACTGACCAGTTCTTTAAAATCCAAATTGCTCAATTCAATAACGAGGCTTTATTGAGCATCCCCTCTCCCCTTCAAGTATTCTGGACCCTGTCCGTGTGACCTTGATAATAAGGAAACTGAAATTTACCCTTATTTGCTGCAGAGGATCATAATCTGGTATCCAAAGATTCCAATCTCTCCCTTTTTATTTTAACTGAGAATGCCCCACATACCAACAACCAAATTCAGGCTATTAAAGTGTTCTGAATAAAAGTTACATTTACGTGAAGTATATATTATTTCAAATCATCTCAAAATCATGAGATTTACATTAATATAAATATCTCCATATTATTACCAGATATAAATAATCTTTGAAAATGTCTCAAGTGCACACATGCATGCATACATACAAGCACATGCTTTCAGTAAATTGGATGTTTTTCCAGGCATCGTAGTTTTCAAAAGCCTTATTTCACCTAAGTTCAAAAATAGCTCAAGAAAAAATAGTTAAGAATGTTTACCAATAAATGAGTAATTTTGTTTACTCCGATTTAAATTTTGTGTTTGGCTTCCCAGCACTACTACAAGCTTCTGTTTGCTTTCAATCACATAATACAATAGCGCCTTAGTTCTATCCCTTGTGTAAACAAACTACGGTAATTCCAATCAAGTCAAAGTGACAAAGAACACTTAAATGAACTAGTTTTCTCCAATTTCTTTAATAAGCCCGGGTGAATGTACACCAAATACAATGGCAGAAATATTGGAGCTTGATAATGTCATAATTAATTTACAAGACCCGATTAAACCACCAACCATTTAAATTCTCCTCTCAACTGGAACCACAATGGGAGGGGAGGGCTTGTGGGATGGAAGACGCATTGTGTGTATAGGGGGTGGGGGGTGGGAGGTATGTGGGGAGGGCAGGCTGGTATTAAATCAGTATGAAACAGTGGGACGCTAATCATTATTTTCAGCCAGTGTCCATCAGAAATAATTATTAAACCTTTTCATTATCATCTTTGTATGTATAAAGACATCTTTGTATACATACTCAGAGAGGTTTTCTAAGACCATTTGTTTTAATAAAGTTGTTCTTAAAGTGAGGGAGAAAAGAATGTCTCTCATTTGACCTTCTCTGTTTTCTTTAATCGTAGAAGACTGGGGGAAAAGTTGGATATTTACTGATGACACTTTTGTCTTGATGCTCAGCAGATATTCCCACATGTAAAGTTGAGTGGACACTGTCCCTTATTCTGGCCATTTCAACGAATTTGTCATGAGTTTCAACAATCCCACACCCCAGAGAAGGCAACACGTGTGACAAAAAGAACCCTGTTAAACAATTAATGTCACTTTCCATTATTGCTTGGGTCCCAATTTACAGAGCAAATACATCAAAGTCACTGCAAATGAAGCACACTGGCCTGCTAACACGTGTCTGTCCACAGGTGATGGGCAGGGAAACACATTAGTCAGGAGAGTGACATTGCAAGATACACTTCCAAAGGCTGAGCTCTGATACCACTTTCTGGCTGTTCAAAATTACTGTTTTTATAAAAACACACTTAAGAGCTCCATGCAAGTTAAGAAGAGAAAAGCAGAGAGGTGAAAAAGAGAGGGCCGATCACCAACCGGGAAGGATCTACAGTTACACCAGCATCTCCTCCTGGCACTTGGGGGCTGAGAGGCAGAGGAAAGGTAGGAGGCAGGCCCTCGAGCATTTCCGCCCTAAGCTCTGTGGCTCTCAAGCAGCGTCTCCCAGGGTGGGATTCAACCCTGGCCTCTCCTTACACAAAGGAGCTATTCTTCCCACCTAAACAAAGGTCTCTCGACTGTCACACTTCACTCCTAAGGGCTCTCCAGGAATAAAGAAGGCACATCTACAAAAACTCGCTCGAGGTGCAAGGAATTTCCAGTGACAGATGATATGCACACATGTATACTAACAACCCACAGTTCAGAATGTGCAGCACATCCGAGGCATGTCATGTCATTAACAAATGATAGTTCAGAACGATGGTAAAACCAGAAGATTCATTACTGCTCTCGGGACTGCAGGGTGCCTGTGTGAACAGCACTAGGTGTGATGCAGCCCAAAAGGGACAGCTGGAGGGGCAGAATCTGCCCCTTCCTGTGCCCCCAAGTCACACCAAGATTGAAATTCGGGATCTGGGATATAATATCTGGGCCTCGTTCCTTTGTGAGTGGTTGGCAAAAGATCCTCCAACCGGTTACACGTGGTGGGTGGACAATGCATCCAACTCACTCAACTGCACACAGAGTGAATAAATCCACTAAATTAAGGAAGAGATGAGGGACTCTGAGCTATTGACACCTGAAAGGAGAAACACAGAGTGAAAACTGCATGAGGTTGCCCAAAGATTTTTCAATGCAGGCTATTATGGAAGGACCATGCCTTGCTTATGAGAGTAATTTTTTCCACTTCTTGTAGAATTGCAATTAGACCTTGCATCCCCTGATTCTCACACTCGCTTGATCTCTGTTTGATAAAAATAGTTTAATAGCCATTTAATCACAGCTTCATTATCTTAGCTCTCTTAATGCGAATTAGGCCAGGAGAATTCTTGCTTCCTCATTATTCAAATCGTCAATAAGAAGGAAACAGTGGGGTCTCCTTATCATTCATTAATCAGTTTCAGTACCTTAGGTACTGTTTACTCAGAGATCAGCCTGTGTGAGAGGTCACTTAGCCTCTCTCAGCCTGTATTTTTCACTATGTAAAGTTTTGGATTATTATCTGCGGAATCCCTGTGACAGAATTTTTCTACACTTGTGAGTAATAAGAAGAAAAGGAAGAGTTAATGACAGCCTGAGAATTCTTGAAGAAGGTGCTCAATAAACATCTCCAGTCTATGTGCCCATCATCTTTTAAAAATTTTTTTAATTTTATTTATTTGGGCCAGGGGTGGGGGGGAGAAGGTAATTGGGTTCATTTATTTATCTATTTTTGACCGAGGTACTGGGAACTGAACCAGGCCTGTGTGCATGCTAAGCACACGCTCCATCACCGAGCTATACCTTCCT